ATTCTCCATTACTAACAATTGCGTCTCCCTCTAAAGACATAAAACTCTGCTTATCTTGGGACTACTATTTTCCATTACTAACAATTGCGTCTCCCTCTAAAGACATAAAACTCTGCTTATCTCGTGACTACTATTTTCCATTACTAACAATTGCGTCTCCCTCTAAAGACATAAAACTCTGCTTATCTCGTGACTACTATTTTCCATTACTAACAATTGCGTCTCCCTCTAAAGACATAAAACTCTGCTTATCTCGTGACTACTATTTTCCATTACTAACAATTGCGTCTCCCTCTAAAGACATAAAACTCTGCTTATCTCGTGACTACTATTTTCCATTACTAACAATTGCGTCTCCCTCTAAAGACATAAAACTCTGCTTATCTTGGGACTACTATTCTCCATGACTAACAATTGCGTCTCCCTCTAAAGATATAAATCTCTGCTTATCTCGTGACTACTATTCTCCATTACTAACAATTGCGTCTCCCTCTAAAGACATAGAACCTCTTGCAAATGGCGCTGTGTTATTGTCCAGAGTTATTATTATTACATATCTTTCCATAGTATAAAATGAAGTCGCTTTCTCTGCTCTTGGCTTAGATATTTTAACCTACGCAACGGATTTTAATGCAGTTTTTTTAGTTATAGGTAGAGTGATTTAAGAGAAAGAGATTATACGTACAATACACTCTCTAACACTCTGCTTCACTTCCGATGGTCGAGTGTTCGATTCCTCGCACGATAGAAACATTTGTATTCCCTAGTACGATTATTTGTATCGGTCTGAATGTTTTCTATATATATTATGTATACATGTAAGTATTTATAGCAGTTGACTAGTACCCATAACACAAGCTCTGCTTATCGTAACATTAGATGGCGCTGTGTGTATAAAATCGAGGTTCTGGAGATCAGGAGCGTTGTACTTATTGAATGAAATACAGTTATGAAGTTACAACCGTATATATTGATCTAAGTGCCTAAGTAAAATTACATATCTATATAAGGAACAACAAAAATATCTTATTAGCGTGTTTTAGAAATATGTATGCAAAAATACAGCGCCATCTAGTTGTACCAGTATAAAACTATTTTGACTCGAACGCTGTGTGAATTGTCCTGGGTTATTTATTATTATTATTAATACATGTACACCCGTGCGAAGCCGGGGCGGTAGCTAGTTTAGTATGTATAATCATGGTGTGTAATGAAATTAGATCAACATTAAAATATTGCGTTGTGACTGCGCTCTACAAGAATTGCTTGCATATTCTACAAATACGCAATACGAGGAAAATAATGTAGTTTGTTCTGACGTAACACTCAAATACTTAAGTAACAAAAAATACTGTAATAGTTCCTTTTTGATAATTCAATAATGCCAGATGGTTTTTAGATAAGCATGGGGTACTAAACAACTGATACAAATACTTAAGTACCTTTTTACTACTACTAGTGTAGTACCTAGCTAAGCAGAGCTTGTGTTATGGGCACTAGACTACTGACATAAAGACTTATTTTTTGTAAAAACATACATATTACAAATAGAAAACATCCCGGGGGGTGGGAATTGTTAGCAATGGGGTGTAGTAGTCTAGCCCATTGATAACAATGTACCATGTTAGGTCGACCTCCACGCGGTTTCCCCTGGAAACCATCGTGGTCAATACTTGGTTATCACGATGGGTAAACTGATCTGAACTCATGCTCATCTTATCATCCTCCACTGGTGCCCCGCCAGCGTAAACCGTTAGTGCAGGCGGGTGCACCATTCCATTATCATCCATAAAAAAAAATAGAAAACACCCAGACAGATACAAATCATATTCATAAATAAAAGTATTTGTACCGTGGCAAGAATCGAACCCGCGACCAATCGGAAGTAAAACGCTGTGCTCAACCGCTAGACCACCGAGGCCGTCAAATAACCGTCTATTTGTACATAGGATGCATATGATTAGTCATAACGTATAAGTTAGAAAGTTGTATCCAAAGTCCAAGGTTTATTTTTAAAAAGTCCAAAGATTCTTGCAATGTTTTGAAGTTATCGCCTACAAATATGTCCCTGACGTAATTAGCTGACTCACCGGTTATACAATGTGTTATGTATGTGTACGCTGGGTCAACGATTATAGATACACTAGCTGTACCCGCGACTTCGTCTGCATGATCTTCTTTATTTGGTGACCTTGACTAAATAAAGAAAAAATATCGAATGAACTAAGCCAAAGATAACATCATTCATTGTTCTATCTTCAAGAATGAGAAATCCCCTATTTTTTTTACAAATTTTGAATGTCATATTTATTTTTAGCCTAAAAAATAAGTTTCAACCTTTAAAAATGACGATAGCTAAGCCAAAGATAACATCATTCATTGTTCTATATTCAAAAATGAGAAATCTCCTAATTTTTTTACAAATTTTGAATGTCATATTTATTTTTAGCCTAAAAAATAAGTTTCAACCTTTAAAAATGACGATAGCTAAGCCAAAGATAACATCATTCATTGTTCTATATTCAAAAATGAGAAATCTCCTAATTTTTTTACAAATTTTGAATGTCATATTTATTTGTAGCCTAAAAAATAAGTTTCAACCTTTAAAAATGACGATAGCTAAGCCAAAGATAACATCATTCATTGTTCTATCTTCAAGAATGAGAAATCCCCTAATTTTTTTACAAATTTTGAATGTCATATTTATTTTTAGCCTAAAAAATAAGTTTCAACCTTTAAAAATGACGATAGCTAAGCCAAAGATAACATCATTCATTGTTCTATCTTCAAAAATAAGAAATCTCCTAATTTTTTTACAAATTTTGAATGTCATATTTATTTTTAGCCTAAAAAATAAGTTTCAACCTTTAAAAATGACGATACTTCTATACAAACTGTCATCTCCCCTTTTACCCCCTCTTGTTGCGCATTAAAAAGTAGCCTATGTCCTTTCTCAGGGTCTAGGCTATCTGTGCAGCAAATTTCATATAAATTGGTTCAGTAGTTTTGGCGTGAAAGCGTATACAGAGAGGCAGACAGGGTTACTTTCGCATTTATTTATATCGGTTCAATAGTTTTGGCATAAAAGCGAGACAGTACCGTAGCCTCCGGACCTCAAGCACCAGGGGTGTCACGTGGGCGTTGCCGACCTTTAAGAAACCTTAATAGGGTATATTAAGGTTCTTGAAAAACCCCGTGCTGTAGTCTCTATAGAAAACCTTGTGTTTTATATATAAGTTTAATATAATTAAACGTCTACAAATTATCTCTTTATTTTCACTCATAGCAATATTCAAATTACAAATAAATCATATACATATATAAAATTTATACATTTTTACTCGTATTCTAAAGACATGTCATTGCAGTGACCAAAATATGTGAAATACTCGTTTTTGTTACAAATTAGAAAGTCAAGATTGTTAACTGGTAAAAGCGCATGACAATAATCTTCGTTACCGCACGTCTGTTGACCCTGCGACATTGTTTGCAAATTGGAGGTTAGAGCACGACCTAACAACGCAGGTTTTATTCAAATTATAGTTATTAGGAAACTCCCATTTGGAGGAGTTTGGGTGTGAGTCAATTTGATTTCGGGAAATTGGGAAGTATATTGGCGAGCTATGTGGAAGAATTAAATTTGTGGGAAAATTTAAAATATACCTGAGTAGGTACATATAATGTAATAAAATAGTTAATCGTATTGGATTCTTGTTTTTAACTAACAATTGCACATAATGTTGAGTCCTTTTGTATGTGACAAGTTGTTAGTTTGATTTAAAATGTTGTTCTGAGTTCTTAACATTTCGCCTTTGGATTTAGTGAAGCTTACTGACAAGTAAGCACTGTTTTAGTAAAACTGGTCAGCTACATTTGTAATTAGTGGCAAATTATGTCGAGTACCATACAACAAAAACTATCCAATTGAAAATCGTTCACATATAAAATCACAACGCCTAGCGTAATCTTATTAGCAATTACTACTACGATTAGCTTAGGGCTTAGACAATTTGCTGAATTATAGTATTTCCTATAGTATATAAGTAATGTTTGCTGTAATATTTAGATATAAAAAAACGATTAACAAGGTAAGACAATTAAGTTTTTTTTTGTATACCACTTAGGTGGCAAACAAGCATACGGCCCATCTGATGGTAAACTGTTACCGTAGCCTATGGACGCCTGAAACACCAGGGGTGTCACATACGCGTTGCCGACTCTTAAGAAACCTTAATATACCCTTCTTGAAAAACCCCATGCTGTAGTCTCTCGAGAAAACCTCGGGAGGTAGTTCATTCCACAATCTAAGTGTACGCGGGAGGAAGCTCCTCTGAAACCGCACTGTCCGAGACCACTTAGGTTCCAGCGTGTGGGGATGAATTCCCTGTCGATGGTGAGCGGTGCGATGGTAAAAGGAAGCCGTAGGCATCATGTCAAACAATTCATCAGAACACAGTCCGTTGTATATTCGGTAGAACACACAAAGCGATGCGAAGTCTCGCCTGAAGCTAAGTGGTTCGATACCGTTAGAGAGATTGGGTACAGTGATAGTGAAAACTGACCTCTACGGCACTCCGCGGGTTTTTTGCCATGACTGTTCACAGAGCACTTTATCATGACTGTCACTGTCACCGTTTCTTAATTTGATATATTTATTTCATCTTTCAAATAAAATCTACTGCGAATAGCGGTGTTTAAATTTTGTCTGTAATTTTCGTACAAATAATTAGATTATAAATTCAGTACAAAGAATTATTATTTAGAAGTTAAATAACAACATTTTATTCTATCTTATTATAACCATTTTATGGTTTTAAGTGTTGCAGTGTCGTGTATTGATTTTTCCTTTGAAGGTTTGTTTACTTTTTTACTAGTATTAAAATAATTTAATAAGGTTATTTCCATTTCAGTTAACTTTAAATAACTTTGTTTAATTCAGAAAATTAATAGTCTCAATGTTTTTGATAGATATATTCTATTCTATTCTAATTTTTAGCGTAACAAATGGCAAAACAGATAGCTGACGTCCAAATCCATGCTTCAGATTCTCAGGATTATTTGGAGGATGATAATCTGGATATAAGCGTTGATCTCATAGACGACGGACTGTATTTAGGTGGGTGTATAACAGCAACATGTAGAAGGAATTAAGGATAAAGAACTTTATTTTATTCTTTTAAAATTAACTGATTCTCTGTTAAATCTATACCATTTTTGTTATTATTATTATAACTTAATTCTTTCACATCATCATTACATAATATAAAACAAAGTCGCTGTCGCTATCTGACCGTCCCTATGTATGCTTAAATCTTTAAAATTACATAACGGGTTTTGAAGCGGTTTTTTTAACAGATAAAGTGATTCAAGAGGAAGGTTTATATATATAATACATGTACACCCTTGCAAAGACAGGGCGAGTAGCTAGTAACACATATTTTTAACATATATTTACATTATATTTTTGGTTTATTTTTTTTCTTGTCATGTCTCGCCTACATTTAACAGCCTCTGCTGAAAATTAGTGGTTTCTTGCTAATTCACAATTCCTCAGAATTGTGAGGTTTTTTGTGAAGCCTGTAAAGATACCAGAAGGCTTCTGCGCTTCTGGGAAGACCTTGGCTGGCTACTTTGGTAGATTCAGCTCTACACACACGGCCCAGATCACAGATTAAACTTCCAACTTCCATTACAGGTAATCTGGCATGTGCCAGAGACTACAAGACATTAGAGAAGTTGCAGGTAACACATATACTGACCATAGATGTGGTACCACTGCCGCGGACAGCACTCGACCACATCAATATCACCTTTAAATATGTGAAATGTAAGTTTCTTGATATGTATATGATTTTACATATATATTTTGGAACTTGTGCAGAGAACTGTACTCTGCACAAGTTTGAATTGAAGGAAGATATGTCAGAGACAGCTTCTGATCGAGCCAAGTTCAGATCCAGAACAATCTGGATGCCATCGTCACATTTTATGTACAAAAATACCAAAAAATAAAGAAAAAAAATAAAATAAGATATTTGTAGGTATGGTATTATACTATATATAAAGTTTATTAATATAAAATATATTTATTGCAGTGGCTGATGTGCCCAAAGAAGATTTGATAAGCCACCTGCCAGAAACAAATGATTTTATCAAAGAAGCGATCACAAAAGGTGGCACAGTATTGGTGCATTGGTGAGTGTAGCTCTTCATCTAATTTGTTATTTTAGAGCAACAATTCTTTATTGGGGACAAACAAACTTGCAGCTTAATGGTAAGTGACTACCACCGCCAATGACAATCAACACCAGCAAGTGTGTTACTGGGCTGTTAACGAATAAGCTCTTCTCATGATAGTTTTAATATTGTGTCGGTACAGAAATTGCAATGCTAGAAGGTTGTGCATTATGTGCATAGCAAAAAGTTTCTGGAAGCATGCTGGAAAACGCGTTTGAAATAAAATGTAGCGAAAACGAGATTCAAGGCAGTAATTAATTATATAAAATGGTTAATCAGCTATTCCAGCATCATATAGCAATCCCTCTTCTAGTTCATACACGTCATTTCAGGCTCGCATCTCCTCTTGAGGCAGGTAAACAAAAACGGCCCCCTGAGCGACTGCTCTGTTCTAACTACCGCACGCTTCCACTCCGGGGCGACGCGTTGGGCAGTCTGAAGTCCTCATAGCGTCCTCATAGCATTGGGAATAGTGCGAATTTTGCTTTCAAATTTTGACCATATTTTTGACAACTAGTCAAGAATATGTGGTAAGCAAAATTCGCACTATTCCCAATGCTATTAGCACTTAAGAGACAGCCCGACTAATATATTCTTTCCTGTGTAAAAAAGCGTACGTGTATAGGCAGTTGATATATATAATTCTAAATATATATGTTCCCCACTGTATGTCTTTTAACTTCACCACCGATCTTGTCGTCATCATTATCTTTATAACATTACTAGCTTTTGCCCGCGGCTTCGCTCGCGTTAATTTATCCCCTTAGGGGTGGAATTTATCAATAGAAATAGAAATAGAAATAATCTTTATTCAAATAAACTCATTACAAGCACTTTTGAATAGTCATATTTTGATTCTACCACTCATTCGGAATGCAGATTCATCACAAGAAGAATGAGCAAGAAACTTGTGTGTTGCTCTTTTTAATAGATGTTTTTTTTTTTATATATAAATAATTACAGTGTAACAAGTAAGAGGCATGCGACAATCAACATAGAAATCGCTACGCACTCATTATTAGTGTAATCAGATAATATTGTCAGTGCTATGTATTTAAAATTTTTCTACAAAAACATTATTATCGTTAACGAATTCTTCAATTTTATAGTAAGCTTTTTTGCAAAGGAAGTGTTTTATTTGACATTTAAATCTTTTTTCTGGCAGATTTATAACAGACTCTGGTATTTTATTGTAAAACCTTACGCAATTGCCATAAAACGAATTACTAACTTTAGCCAAACGACATTTAGGTAAAATCAGTTTGTTGTTGTTACGTAAGCTTTTATTAGTGCAATCACTAACTCTTTTGAAACTGTCTATATTCTTCCTGGCATACATGATATTTTCATAAATATATTGAGAAGCAACGGTGAGGATATTTGATTCCTTAAAGCACTCTCGCAAAGACTCCCTGGAACCCATGCTATAAATGGAGCGAATGGCCCTCTTTTGTAAAATAAAAATTGTATTTATATCAGCTGCTTTGCCCCATAACAAAATACCATACGACATAATGCTATGGAAATAGCTAAAGTACACAAGTTTAGCCGTTGCCACGTCTGTTAATTGTTTAATTCTTCTTACCGCATAAGCGGCGGAACTAAGTCGACTCGCTAATTTAGTAATATGAGCGCCCCATTGCAACTTGGAATCTAATGTGATACCTAGAAATACAGTATCATCCACAAAATTAATAGGTTTATTGTCCAACGTGATTTTTGAATCTACCGGCCTTACATTGGGTAGAGTAAATTTGATACATTTAGTTTTATTTGCATTTAGTAACATATTATTAGCCGTAAACCATTTTAAAACATAAGAAAGAGCACCGTTTACTTCGTCCAAATCATCAATATGTCGATTGACTTTGAATACTAATGAAGTATCATCAGCAAACAGAACTATGTCAGCTATCTTTTCTACCATATAAGGAAGATCATCTAAAAATAAGAAAGGATCTAAAATAGAGCCCTGAGGAACACCCATTTTAATACTAGTTCCCTCAGACTTTACACCATTTATTTCGACAACTTGCATTCTATTATTTAGATAGGATTTCATCATGCTTTGTGCTTCATATCTAATACCGTAATGTTCAAGTTTGAGCAAAAGTGTTTCATGTTCAACGCAATCAAATGCTTTTGAAAGATCACAAAATACACCGACTGCATCCTGAGACCTCTCCCAAGAATCAAATATATATTTAATGAGAGCTACACCGGCATCAGTAGTTGATTTACCGGCCGTGAAACCAAATTGTCGACTGTGAAGCAGTTTATTTACTTTAAAGTGTTGCAGCATTTGATTGAGCATAATTTTTTCAAACACTTTACTCAATACTGGTAAGATAGATATAGGCCTATAATTACCTACCACAGTTTTTTCTCCTGACTTAAAGAGTGGAGTTATTTTGCTATGTTTCATTAAATTGGGAAAAACACCATCAGAAATACATTTATTGAAAATAATTACTAAATATGGAGCAATAACATCTATAGCGGTGTTAATAACTTTAACAGACATGCCCCAATGGTCTTCAGTATTTTTTAAATTTAATTGTTTAGTAATTGTAGCAATGTCAATAAATGTAAATTTAAATGTAACCGGACAAGAAACAACATTGTCAATAAGGAATGATTTAGCTGTACCAGGAGAAGAGTCCAAAGAGGAAGTAATATCAGTTGGAATATTAGCGAAAAAATTTTCAAAAATATTGACTATTTCTTTTGTGGACGTTATCAAAATCCTTTATTAGGGGGTGCCTACTTCATAGTAGCTTTATGCATGCAAAGTCTCAGCCCGATCGGTTTAAAATTGGCAAACTTCCATCCCCTTGGGTGTAGAATTAATCAAAATCCTTTCTTAGCGGATGCCTACGTCATAACATCTACCTGCATGCCAAATTTCAGCCCGATCCGTCCAGTGGTTTGGGCTGTGCGTTGATAGATCACTACGTCAGTCACCTTTGAGTATATATAGATAGTATATTTGAGATATTTAGATAATGAAATTTTCAGTTACTTCGGAGTGTCTCGGTCAGCTGCTGTAGTGGTAGCTTATATAATGGAAAAGTATGGACTATGTTACGAGGACGCGTTCACATTGGTAAAGAGCAAGCGGCGGTTTATCAGCCCCAACATTGGTTTCGTGGCGCAGCTCAAACTCTTTGGCCATATTGGATTTACGCTGAACAAAGAGGACCCTAGATATAAGCAATTTAGGTTGAAAATGGCCGGGCAAAAGTTAAAACAAGGTATTATTTTAATAACAAGGTTTATTTTAAACTAGCTGTTCCAATGACTTCGTTCGCGTGGAGTGTAACTTTATTTTTCTAAAATAAAAGTAGCCTAAGTTAGTCCTAGTTATTACATCAGCTATCTGCCAATAAAAATCCCGTCAAAATCGGTCCAGCGATATCAGAGATTATCTGGAACAAACAGACATGCAACCAAAAATTGTAAAATTTGTTATTTTGGTGTATGTACTGTATTTATAGTCATATGCATGTAGTAAAAAACGGTTATTTCAATATTAGAAACAGACACTCCAATTGGTGGTTATTGATAATAATAATAATAAATTAATATAAAACACTATAATTACCATTTGTTTAAATTCCAGTAAAAATTCTACCACAAATGTTCGCGGACCTCGTGAAACCAGACCCAGGGTTGATACGGGAGCGGCCTGATCCCATAGTATACCGGTGCAAGAAGTGCCGCCGTATAGTAGCCAGCCAGAACAACATCATCCCGCACATACCCAAGCAGTTAAAAGTGGAGTTAGCAAAGAAAGGCATTCGGCCGCCACCGAGCAAGCTCACAGGGCTGACCTGTGCCGAGAATGGGGAGATCCTGTTAGAGAAGTTGAAGAGTCTCGCCTGTCAGATATTGGATACTAAGATTGATACGTGCAGCGATTTGAATAGTCCAGGACAGAGTAATAGCCAGAAGAGTGACTGTCATGATAGTGATGAAGGTCCTAGCCAGGTATTTATTTATTTAATAATATATAATAATAATAATCTCAGGACAATTCACACAGCGCTATCTAGACCCAAGTTAAGTAGCTAAAGCTTGTGTTATAAGTACTAGATAACTGATACATATACATAGATATTTTTATGTTGTAAATATATACATATTATACATAGAATACACCCAGACCGATACAAACAATCATACTCATGAATACAAATGTTTGTGCCGTGCGAGGAATCGAACCCGCGACCATCGGTCGTAAAGCGGTGTGCTAGACCGCTAGAGCATCGAGGTCGTCGATGGTCAATATCACATAAACCATTACCATCGTTATATCAATCATCACACCAAAATTCTTCTGAATGTAATTTTGAACAACTTTTATTTAATCTTTTAAAACACGCAAGTTTCTTGCTCATTCTGTCAGTCTGCGATCCGAATGAGTGACAAAAAAAAACTATTCAAAAGCACTAATATATATATATATATTATATACATATATCTTTTAAATAAATGTAGTTCAGATTTACAATTTTAAGAACTGTGTTTGAATACAAACTTCCAAAAAGCACAGTCAATAAGTAAATAGTTACTTGAGTAACAAAAATAAATCAATCATAGTTATCAGAACAAAACAGTCCCTACAAGCAGCACCCATTTTCCTATTTCCAGGTACTTTTTATTATTTCTATTTCTAGGTGCATTTTATTGTACCTATTTCCAGGTGCATTTTATTATTCTTATTTCCAGGTGTTGGACGGCTACAGTGAAGGGAACATGGTGGACGCGAACATAGTGGCCCGCGACGCACCCGAGATCTGCCGGCTGATGTGGTTCGTGGAGCCGATGTCCTGGATGAAGGAGGTGCAGCACGACACGCACGGCAAGCTGCACTGCCCCAAGTGTCAGAACAAAATTGGCAGCTTCAACTGGGTCATGGGTGAGTGTTTTTACTTAATTAAATGAATTTTATTTGCATAAAACAGTTGATGGTTATTTATTATTAGACACGCGTAATCTCGCTTATTTCATGTGCCTTCTTGCCTTTTTGTAATAGATAACTATCTCTGCAAAATGGCAGATTGAAACAGATTTATAAATTTTAAACATCTATAGAATAGAATAGAAAATCCTTTCTATTCTACACAGTCACATTTTTTTAATCTACCGCTCATGTTAATAACCTTCTACTCACCATCATGATTCTATTTTTTTATTTTAAGTATGATAATGTAATGGTGCACCTGCGCTAACGGTTTACGCTGGCGGGGCACCAGTGAAGGATGATGAGGTCAGATCAGTTAGCCCATAGTGAGAAATTCATGAAGAATTTATCACGATTGTTTCCAGGGGGAACCGCATGGAGGTCAACCTGACATTGTAAATTGATTTGAATATTTTTATTTGAAATAGCAATATTCTCAATTCACATTACTAACAATCTTCTTTCCCCCGATAGGGAGTGATCCTATTATGAAAATGAACCATTATAATGGATTTCATAGCTTAATATAATTTTGTTTCAGGCTGTAAATGCCCGTGCGGACAGAAGGTAGCGCCGGCTTTCTACCTCGTACCTTCGAAGGTAGAATGGTCCAATATAGTACAAAATGTACAGGTCACTGTTTGAAGGAACCTCATACCCTGTTGTGATATCAATACAGCAGCGAGGACTTGCATTTTGGCCGTGATCTACAATTTTATGTTGCCAGGTCGCTGTAGAAACTTGGTGCAGACGCAATAATAGTTAAATAGGCTCTCTGATTCCTAGCTCAATTCAAATGGGAATCGAACTTAGCGCTTCAGCTGAGGCTTGAACACCTAGCGGTGTCCTCAGACTAAAGTATCTGTCAGGCAGGAGTTGGTTTCATGACTCCTGCGGTTTAAAGTGCCATCAGTACGAGCCACCTATCAGTCGGTCCCCTCCATCGATCCCCCGTCTAATTCAAATGGGGATCAAAATTACGACGGCCTAAGCTGAGGTTTGAACCCGTAACAGTGCCCTCAGACTACAGTATCCGTCAGGCAGGAGTTGGCTTCATGACTCCTTCCGCGGATTAAAGTGCCATCAGGACGAGCCACCTATCAGTCGGTCCCCCGTCTAACTCAAATAGGGATCAAAATTACGACGGCCTGAGCTGAGGTTTGAACCCGTAGCAGTGCCCTCAGACTAAAGTCGTATCCGTTAGGCGGGAGTCGACCTTCAGTAGTTCCATAAGGCCTTCCGCGGGCGGGAGTTGGCCTTCAGCCGCTCCATAAGTCCTTCCGCGGTTTGGAGTGCCATCTGCACTCGTCTCCTATCGTTCAGTGAAACTGTAAAGGCCAGCTGCGGCCAACAGTATTAGAGTCATCATTGCAGCCCGGAAGACGTCCACTGCTGGACATAGGCCTCCCCCAAAGATCTCCACGACGATCGGTCCTGCGCTGCTCGCATCCAATGCCTTCCCGCGATCTTGACCAGATCGTCGGTCCACCTTGCTGGAGGCCTTCCCACGCTGCGTCTTCCGGTCCGTGGTCGCCACTCGAGGACTTTACTGCCCCAACGGCCATCTGTCCTACGAGCTATGTGCCCTGCCCATTGCCACTTCAAAGTCGCAATTCTTCGGGCTATGTCGGTCACTCTGGTTCTTCTGCGGATCTCCTCATTTCTGATTCGATCACGCAGAGAAACTCCGAGCATAGCCCTCTCCATTGCCCTCTGAGTGACTCTGAGCTTGTTGATGGGGCCCATAGTTAGCGACCACGTCTCTGTTCCGTAAGTCATCACTGGCAACACACATTGGTCGTAAACCTTCGTCTTGAGACACTGCGGAAATTTGGACGAAAAGATATATCGGAGCTTCCCGAACGCTGCCCATCCGAGTTGGATTCGACGTATTAGAGTAGTCCGAAAAAAATAATTGAATAGGAGATACTTGCTAACCAGTCAAGAATATGCCAAGTACTATGTTAATAAAAGAATATTAATTTAGATACTTGGCTTAGGCTCAAAATACAAGGAATAACTTTATATGCACAGAGTACAAATGAAAGACAAATGTGTTCAAATACCTGGATAATAAAATAGTCAGAAATTCTAATTCTGTATGATGATAATAATAAGGTGAACCTCCGCTGACGGGGCTACAGTGAAAGTTTATTGGAGGCTTGATAATAATGAAGCATTACTGGTTATGACTCGATCTCTTTAAATATCGTTTACTGACAGACTTACAAAACATCTAATTTGTGATAAAGGAACACATCATTATGCTCTTATTTTAAAAAAGGTAAATATATAGAAACAGTAAAAACATACTATATTTTTAATAGGACGCGACGTGCGTTATCTTAGAACGCCATCTATTGGTAATGAAACGACAACAATATATATGTACAACGCCATCTATCATTTGACTAATTAATTAACTAATAAATTTCTTAGTAGCTATTGAACATTTTCACAAAATTAATTTACTCTCTTTTGGGACTATATTACCCAACTTTAGTTTACATATAGACCAACATTCGACATACTCTAGACGGCCTGGGTAGTCTAGCAGTCTAGTTAGAAACGCTTATTCCGATGATCGCGGGTTCGATTCCTCGCACGATACAAATATTTGTATTTACGAGTATGTTTATTTATATTGAAACAATTCCCCCTAATTAGAATTTCACTACTTTATTATATGTAAAGAATATAAAAGAAAAGAAAGATGTCGGAAATTACTAAACACGTATACACTTGTTTTTAAATAAGTACCTATATTAAGACGCAGTACAGTCTTTTTTTAATTGTTCTCAAAATTAGAGATATAACAAATTATACAATTCACTTAAGGAATGTACATTATATTAATAATAGTTGTTACCGTTGGCTTGTACAGATAGAATATAAACAATGTTTTAGTGAATTATCTTTTATTTCTCTATATGTACCATTAGTATGTCTTATATAGTACTTTCCTCTGTTTGCTTGGGAAACCTTTTGAGGTTTTCTTTTATGTTTTTATCTTATCTTAATCATTACATAATATAAAACAAAGTTGCTGTCGCTGTCTGTCCGTCCCTATGTATACTTGAATCTTTACAACTACGCAACGGATTTTGAAACGGGTTTTTTTAAATAGGTAGAGTGATTCAAGAGGAAGATTTGTATATATAATACATGTACACCCGGGCGAAGCCGGGGCGAGTAGCGAGTGTTATGATTGTTACACTTACGCAAAAACTACTGGATGGTTATTGATGAAACTTTACAGTAATATGGCTTATGTATTAGAATAACACATTTTAAAATATATTATGTAAATTGGCTAACGGTTTACGCTGATTAAGGCACAGCTAGTTTTTTTTTTTATGGATGATAATGGAATGGAGCGTCCGCCTGCGCTAACGGTTTACGCTGGCGGGGCACCAGTGGAGGATGATAAGATGAGCATGAAGTCAGATCAGTTAGCCCAACGTGACAAATTCGCCGGGAATTTATCACGACGGTTTCCAGGGGAACCGCGTGGAGGTCAACCTGACATGGTACATTGCTAGCAATGGGGTCATGAGTCCACATTACTAACAATCCCCTTCCCCCAGGCCCAGCTAGTTTAATGACAACTGTTTGGTGCACCCGCCAGTGCTAACAGTTTACGCTGGTGGCATTAGGATGACAAGTTGAGCATGATGAAGTCAGGTCAGTTAGCCCATTGTAGCATCATCAGGAATCTATCAACAATGGTTTCCATCGAAAACCGTGTGGAGGTCAACCTGAAATAGCTACTTTGCTAGCAATGGGTTTATCCAGCCCAAATTACTGGCAATCTCTTCAATGTTAACGAACAAATTGGCTTTTATAACAAAGGAAGTCTCAAGTTTCTTGCCAGTTCTCAATTGAATCTATAAACTGAAATGGCATAGGGAAAAAATAGTACAAAAATTTTCACAAATGACTAAAATGTTTTTATTTGATCATCTAGTCTTATCTATCCGGCTCCTTACGGACCAGGCGGATCCGGCGTGGTGTAGTGTAGTAGACTCAGTCGGACCCTCTATTATCTATCCGGCTCGTTACGGACCAGTCGGACTTGGCGTGGCGTAGTGTAGTAAACTCAGTCGGACTCTCTATTATCTATCCGGCTCGTTACGGACCAGACGGACCCGGCATGGTGTAGTGTAGTAGACTCAGTTGGACCCTCTATTATCTATCCGGCTCGTTACGGACCAGACGGACCCGGCATGGTGTAGTGTAGTAGACTCAGTCGAACCCTCTATTACATATCCGGCTCGTTACGGACCAGTCGGACTTGGCGTGGCGTAGTGTAGTAGACTCAGTTAGGCCGTCTATTATCTATCCGGCATACAGCGTGACGTAGTAGACTCAGAGTGGACGTCCATCGCGGCGCAGGCGCGGCACGTCTCTGAGGGAGAGTCGGTGCACGCGCAGGATATGCGACTTCCGCTTCCAGCTGTCGGAGAAGCTGCGAGAGCAGCCCGGGCACAAGTACGGCCGCTCGTGTGTGTGAGTACGCCCGTGCCGAGCCTGCAGATCACGTATATACAATCCATACAGCCTCGGTGGTCTAGCAGTTTAGCACACCGCCTTACTTACGATGGTCGCGGGTTCGATTCTTTTCTCAGCATCGTCATTGTTATGTGTGATGTACATGATGTAGTTATCTTACTAATATTATAATTGAAAAAGTTTGTGAGTATGGATGTTTGTTACTCTTTCACGCAAAAACTACTGAACGGATTTTGTTGAAACTTTACAGTAACATAGCTTATACATCAGAATAGCACATAGACTATAATTTAAAAAGATATTATGTAAATTGGGCGATATATAACGATAAGTGCGATGCATTTAAGAGCTACGCTCTTGTCGGTGGAGCTCTTGCCACTTTCCGCGATCTTCCATCATGCTCTTTAATTCTTGATACGACACGACTCCCATTTTGTCCCCAATTTGTTTGATGTAGCTATTCCTTGGTCTTCCCCTCCCCCTCTTTCCTTCTATTTTCCCCTCAATAATAATTTTCATGAAATCATCGTGCCGTATCAAGTGCCCTAACATTTTTCCTCGTCTATTTTCTATGGTGTTCAATATTTTATAATATACTGTTATTAATTACTCTCATATTAAGCCTTTAATTACCACCATAGTTAGCTGCTCTAGCGCTCTACACACAGTCCCAAACAAAGACCATGACGTTACCAGGGAACCATCAACTTATTTGTAAAATTCATAAAACAATGAAATGCTCACCAGAGAGCTAGCATCGAAGAATCCCTTAGCGCAGTAGGTGCATACGTGCGATGGTTGTCCAGTATGTCGTCGCTGGTGGCGCCGCAGGTTCGATGCGGCGGCCGCGCGGAAACCACACTCGCCGCATGAGAACGGCTTCTCGCCGGTGTGCTTCCGCATATGCACTTTCAGGTTACCCGCTAAAAATAATGATACAACTATTATCACCAGGTTTTTCCTTTTAATGGTGCACAAAATGGCGATATAGTGTAAGATCCAACTAATTATGATGACGACTTAGAGAAGGGACATCCCAAGCGCCCGTGACTTGTGACACGGGTGTAGGTTTAAAAGGCCCTTTTCGAATGCATTAACACTCACCTTCACTACTTGCAGCTTCGTCTCCAATACAATCGACTTTAGTTTCCGAAATACAACCGGCACGTTCTGTGCTTGTCGACTGAATGCAGTGGCTTGTTCAACGAAAGAGAATTATTCAACTACCGACCTCCGTATTTATAGACCGAAGTCAGTGTAGTAGGGAGAGAAGCGGGGTAACGGTTATCTATGACAAACAATTTAGTTCGGCCTATAGATACTAGATGGCGCTATTTCCAATATTTGTAATAACCTTTACATTGGGTACTTCATTAGTACTAATCACAAACTACCTTCTTTTAATATCTTTTTAAAATATCAGATTTTTCTACATAATTGATGTGAACTATAACACTTGTAATAATAATAATTTATTTATATGTGATCTATTATATACTGTAAACGCACACATTTATTATCATCATTTACTTGCAGTATATGCAAGTAAATGATGATAAGCTTAAGTTAATACTTATTCAGGGGGGTAGCTACCGTCGTATCTGCCGTATCTACTATACGGGCCCTCGGGCCACGGGGGCTCCCATCGTGCGTAAGCAAAAATTAACTTCCCAAATTTTTTTTTATTTCACAAATGACTTAAGTCAAAATAACTATTTTTTCCCGCATCAGCTATAAATGATTTAATAAATCAGTTTGTCGAAAAAATGGCAAGGAGCATGTATATATAATTTGAATTGGTTGTAAAAATTTTGGAATAACTGACAGAAAGATCATTATGTTAGGGTTCACATCGATATTGTCGACAAATCAAAAAGAAAAAAGAAAGGTAGTTTCATTATTACTCGGTATCGTTAAACTAGTTGCATATAACCCCCACTCATATCTTCTCTGTATAAAAGGGAGGGTTTGTCGCGACATTCGGTCTTTGAGCACAGGATGTGCTGGTTGAATTTTAAATGCTAAAGTGAAATTGTCCAGAGCTATTTATTTATTAAATACACAACTAACTGTAAATCAGTAGTAGTGATTAGAGTAGAGCAGTCCCTACAAGCATGTGAGTAGATTGTTAGCCATTCCTGCCATAAAAAGAATCATCAGAGACATCATCCAACATGGATTCTTAATAAGCAAGTATACTTACCCTGAGTGAAACTCCAACCGCAGAAGCAACACAAATACTGTTTCTGCTCCTCATGTACTTTCATATGACACTTTAGTATGCTTTTAATTTTGAATCTGTAAAGTAAATCATTAGAATAAAGATAAGATAAAGAAGCCATTACAATTTTTTTAAGTAAATCATTAATTTATTTATTTTTATTCATACTCTTTATTGCCTCAAATATAGAAAATAAATAATAAAATAGTAAATACTAATAACACATGTGGACATATCACACAGCGCCATCTAGTCCCACGGTAAGCAAAACTAGAGAACTGATATAGATAAATACTTACGTTTTAAACACACAATATGATTTAATACCAGTTTTATGTATGTATATGTATGACAATAATAATATCTATATAAATAAGTCTGCTCTGATGGTATATATGATAAAATAACCCTGAATAATGTTTAGATTATATATATTTAAGTTTGTTATTGTCAATTTTTATGTTTACGTTGTTAATTGTAGTTTAAAACTTAATATGCTATCATTGTCGTTGATCTCACATTGTATTTTACTGATAAAGGCTATAACAGAATAGCAGAGAGGGTGGACTCACTGCCCACTGCTATTCATGAGTATGATTGTTTGTATCGGTCTGGGTGTTTTCTATGTATAATATGTTTGTATTTACGAAAAAAAAAATCTATGTATTTGTATCAGCTATCTAGTACCCGTAACACAAGCTTTAGATAGCTTAACTTGGGACTAGATGGCGCTGTGCGAATTATCCTGAGATTATTATACCTCATGTTGCACTTGTCGCAACTATACGGTCGTGCGTCAGCGTGGGCCCTCGCATGCGCCACTAGCTGCTTCCGTCTCTTGAACCGTTTCCCGCAAGTGGGTACTGCGCATTCGAACTGCCGCTCTTCTGAATGTGTGGTCTCGTGGTACGACAGCTGAGATCGTTTAGTAAACGCTGTAATAGAAATGTATTAAATTATTATACTAGATGGCCCGCGCAACTTCGTCTGCATCACACATACTCTATATGTATTACGATATTTCTCCCAATTATCTCCTTAAATTATAGCCCATGTATTATTCTGAAGTATGCTATATTACTGTAGTTTCATCAAAATCCGTTCAGTGATTTTTGCGTGGAAGGGTAACAAACATCCATACTTACAAACTTTCAGGTCTATAATATTATTTTATTTTATTTTTTTATTTATTACTCTTTATTGCACCATAATAACAAAAAAAAACATATATACAAACGAAAACAATATTTAGATTATGGGTACAAAAGGCGGTCTTATCGCTTATGCGATCTCTTGCAGACAACCTTTGGGTAGAGGAGAAAAGACAGAAGGTGGTGGATGGCGCATGATGGAGTAGAAACATTAATAATATTAATATATAAAATAATACATATCATAAACATATACATTCTACATAATATATAAATACCTAACTTATAAAATAAATATACAATAATATAATACAAATATATACGAGTATAGGTACACAGCAACATATATGCAATTATGAAGGCGACAATTTAGTAATAAGAAAGAAAGGACAGCAGAAAGAATATTTACTGAGAGAGATAGTGCGATTTCACAGCGTTCTTGAAAATGGTTAATGATTGCGCACTCCGTATGGAGGATGGTAGTGAGTTCCACACGCACGGCGCGCACAGAGAATGAGTTAGTGTAGAAAGAAGAAGTATGGGAATGGTATTAATAAGATTATATATTCTTTACTGCACTTTTAAATAGCCTAGTAAACTTAATTATATACAAAGTGAGCAAAGGTGTCCACCTTTGCTCTTTTATCTATAAAAGAGATCTCTACCAGTCAACCCAACAGTGAGGCATAGCTATTAGTGAGTGGGTAACACTAGTGCAACTAGCAATATAACATTGAAATGTCAAAAATTTGAAAATTATTATTTAAAATTCAACAAATTAAATAATATTTCTTAAGGGTCAGCAGTGTGCACGTGACAACCCTGGTGTTTCAGGCGTTTATAGACTATGGTAACTGGTTACCATCAGATGGGTATATTTGTTGACATCGTGGTAGAACGAAAAAATATCCTAAGGACTAACATGTATAGAAAATTGGCTACCTGGTAGAAATCACTATTTTATTTATTTATTTAATTAACATAATATAAACTTACAGCTAATTGCCAACACGTTTATATTTTAAAACTATTTATACTACTTAAAATTATACGATGATAAATATATTCTTATTTTAGTAATTATGGAAGGCATATATATAAGGCTGCCTCTATATGGTAATTCTGATTTTTTTAAATAATAATAATAATAATACTTTATTTGCCAAATGTAGGTAAACAATAAAGTGTATTTGGTATACATATTAATTTATGTAATTTTTCTTCTGTGCGATACGATAAAGAGTTTTTAATTAATTCTTTTAAGAATCACTCTATCTATTTCTAATAATTTCAGTTTTAAAAATTGTCGCATAGTCTTCTTTTTTTTTAATATGTATAGACATTAAAATAGAATTATGTGATAATGTAAGGTACTCACTTTTAGGGCACTGAGTACAGGCATATTTATTCCCTGTGTGCTCATTCTCCATGTGCTTAGCAAACCATACTTTGGACATAAACTCCTTTCTGCACACTGGACACACATTTTTCTTAGTTTCCCCTACATTCTCCATTTCTTTCACATTCATACTCTTTTCATTTTCTATGGTATTTACATTAGTATCTTCTACAACTTCTTTTCTCTTAGCTTCCTCAACATTCTCTATTTCTTTCACATTTATACTGTTTTCATTATCAATTGTTTTTATATTAGTATCATTTTCTTCTGTTTTATTACAGTTACTAAAGTTCTCTTCCTGATTGTCTATGTTATCAAAGAAGGCCTGTTCATCAAAATTGTCAATGGTATTCAATTTGTAGTCGGATAACTCAAGTTCACCAGTATTGTCTGTGGTAGTATTAACAATATTCTTATTGTGACTCTCTGGTTTTACAATGACACTGGTGGGTCGAGATACAACATTTTTTAATGTGACATTAACTTTTTGAGCTTCCATTATGTAGGTGCATGAGGATTCTATTTTGATAATGCAGTCGTAACAAAATTGTCTCGGCAGCTTGTCTTCATCTGTAACCTGTAATAACACATTATTATATAGTATAAAACAAAGTCGCGGTCGCTGTCTGTCTGTCCCTATGTATGCTTAAATCTTTAAAACTATGCAACGGATTTTGAAACTTTGAAGTTTTTATATTCATTGATTTTATATTATGTCAGTTTACACCTTGTAATATTAGAAATTCCAAAGGTAGTGGCAATTAATGTCTCTGGAAGGTTACAAATATGAAGAAGTTTAAACATAGACTAGGCTGTACGGTCCAAGGCTCTTTGCCTGTTCCATCATTAAAAATGAGATGGACGAATATGGAAAAAAAAAATGTCTCTGGAAAAGAATAGATACATTTATATTTGATGTTTCATACTAGAGAACCATAGAACTATTAAAATATTCAAATTAAGAATGTGGTACTCATATTGATGTCTTATACTAAACTACCAGAAAACCACAGAACTACTGAAAGATTCAAATTAAGAATTCGGTACTCAGATCTATCATGTTCTAATTTAATACAGATTACTTTGAATTAATTTCTGTATTTATTTAGTGTTTCCCTTCAGAAACTTCAGGTAAGAGATTTTTCAAGATAAATTATTGCAGTATTATAAGTACCTTAATATTAGTACAGAAAGTGAACATTTCGATCGCTGTAGGGTCAAAATTATCTCTCTCCCAAGATGCGACTTCCTTCATACAACTGCGGCATAAGTTTGATACGTCCATTATTATATATAGTTTGAATTAAATATAATTATAATATTTTTGTATAAGAGAATTTATAAATAAAATGATTTATTGAAGTACGTAGGATATAAACACTGTGTTTATGTAGAAAAGTTCACGCAGGTTTAAGTTTAAAGAGTGGAGTTTATGACTTGACTGTAAATATAACATTGTATCATAAAATAATTATTATATCGCATAGGACGGAACCCAGTGAAATTTTGTTTTATAAAATTTAAATTAAGAATAACAACTAATAATTTGAAAAAATATTGCACTACTGACTGATCACTGAACTGACGTCAATATAATTGACGCTGACTGACGTAATTTCGTTTAGTTACTACAAAATATGAAGTAATGTATTGTGAAACACAAAACAATTAAAAAACGCAAGAAAAAATTGTCTTCACGTACGGCGTACTACTTTTTATGTTAGGTTAATATATAAGTTTATTTCAATTGAATTACTAAGAGGTTTAATCCCCGTAAAAAGTGTATCCCCTGGAGTTGATGCCGCGGCAAAGAGATTCGTCCCTAAGCGAACTTTTCTCCGGGAACACCAGAGGGGTGCGATTAACCAGTGTGTGTGTAATGTAGTGTCATTACTACATCAGTGTGTATAACATCCTCTAAAAAAGAAGCCAAATATTAGGACAAGATTCATCATATATTAATTGTAACTAACTGACCCCGGAAAAGTGTAGCCTATTTTTCTGGCAGATATAAGTGCTCATTGTATACTGATTTATGGTTTATTTTCATAATTTTCCAATGATCATAAAAAGATATTTGTTTTTAATAGAAAAAATATTGCTATCAGTATAAAGTGGAAATAAGGTCGCGCATTATTTTCTCATACAGTAATATTGGCTTTAAAGAAATAAATTTAAATAACAAAGTTTATTGTACAATAATATCAATTACAGCCGTAGCAATGCAGTTTCTACATAATTTACATAACGACTTTTTGGGGCGCCATCTTGGATTCAGCAAGGAAACTTCGCAACTCCTCGATTCCTTCGCCAGTCAGAGGTGAAGCTTCGAGTAACTTCGGTGCATTCTTGAGTTCAGTTCTGAGCCTTGCATACTGCAGCATGAGCAGTGCTTCGTTACGCATCTGTCTATATGCGGCGTCCATTTTACTCAGCACTAGCATAAACTGTAATTAGTACATACTTCCATATTAATGTGTACAATATAATATAGTTAATATTCTCTTGTCTGTAGTAATACTAATTAATACTATTTTTACGACAATGTGTCTGTTTAGATCGGCTGATTAAATAACTGAATTAATTTCCAAAAAACAGCAATAATCATAACATTAATACTAGATTTAAAGATAAACTTGCTGTCCCCAAGTCAAGTAAATAGGTCTTTTATGGAAATAGGTATAAAAATTTACAATAAGATACCAAAGGGTATATTGGAATTACCCTTAAATAAATTCAAAACATCTCTTAAATCATATTTACTGAGCAAAGTCTATTACTCACTAAACGATTACTTGAATGACGAGCGTGCATGGCAATAGTTGTTCATGTACGGGATTTTCATTTAATGTTAGACATAGACACCTACATAAATACCAAAACAATGTAAATAAACTAGCTTTTAGAAAAAAAGTAATTCAATTGAGTTTATTGCCAGTTCTTCTCAATTGGATCTATATACCGAACTGGACGGTAGGGAATAAAATAAAAATTATAATGTAAAAACTTGACGTTCATAAGCGGCTAAAATATCCTACATGAATAAATTATTTTTGAATTTGAATTTAATGTAAATGAAATTTGACGTAAAGATAGATCGTATACGGAGACAGCCAGGCTTTTATTAAATAAAAACCTGGAAGGATTTTAATATCATTAAACTTTTTAAGTACAAATCCAATTTTTTTTTATATAAATTGCACTTTTATACTTGGAAACGTACGCTGTGACAAAATTATAGCAATGCGAAGACATTAGCCTCTTCTGTACATCTCTAATGTCTACCAAATGTCAAAATAAAAATTGGCGGGAAATGTAATGTCTGTTTAAGTTTTTCATTTAAATAAATCCAGTTTGTAATAATTAAAATATGCAATATAAAATGTTTAAAAGTACTTAGTAATAATTTAAAAAAAACAATGTACTTTTTTAGTTAATAACTGAAGTAGTTATGTATAATAGTTATAAATAATGATACATGCGTACGGTAGTGTAATCTAAACAGTAATTACTTTTCAATATATACATTTGTCTTATGATTTACAAGTGATTAAGCATTGCAATAAATAATAAATCATTTTCGTGCGTGAGTGAAGTTCACCTTGGCGGTTTTTAGGCGAGGTTCAGCGAGTAGAGTATAGAGTAGCACGGCGGCCGCAGATATTTGACAGAGGTTTGAAGTATCTACTACATATATGATCTGTAATTGATATAAAAAAGTTAACAATGCTAACAGCCAGGTGAAACAGAAATATCTATTGAATTAATGGAATACTCCGAATACTAGAAATATTATTTCTACTATCTATGTTTGGCTTTTGGAAAATATAGCATTGTGTTAAGTCCGCCAAATACTACTTACTACCTTTTATATTGTGTGCATTGAAGTTAAATAAATAAATAATATTTGTATATTACTTTATACAAATACCATATTTTTTTATTGAGGGTTTGGACCATTGTCAGGTGCTAAGACCTGTATAGATCTATTGTGCTCGGCCTCATTCAAAATTCGCAACCTAGACCCGTCAGGGACAAGAATTGAAGGATATTCTTAGGAGCGATGGTTTTTATCTCCTCAGGATATAGTGTAAACTTTCCAAAGGAGATATTTCGTTTATTCATGAGTGGGCTACAACCACATAGGATGTGTAGTGGCATTTCCTCTTCAGCGTGGCAAAATCTGCAGATTTTTGTTGATCACAGCCCTGAGTATTGTATGCATTGAAACTGAATAAGTTAGTAAAATTTTGTATTTCTTTTAGTATTATAAATGCGAAAGTATTTAAGTACGGATGTTTGTTACTCTTTCACGCAAAAACTACTGAACGGATTTTGATTAAACTTTACAGTAATATAGCATAATACATAGGTTATATTTTTTTTAACTTTAACGCGGTTAAAACAGCTGGCACAACTAGTTACCATATATAAGTTCTATACCGAAAAAAGTTTTTTTTTGTGTTTTATATGTCATTTTGTTGGCCTTCCATCACTTGTCTCTGTGTTCTCTAGTTTGTGACTTGTTCGCTTTATTGCCGTTTACGATATCCTCTAAACTAAAGGAGTTATAATTGTACTGTGGAAAGATTAATTAATTATATTAATGACTTACTTTATTGACTCCGTCTAAGTAATTACTCCACAGTGGCGCCATCTCGCCACCCACTTCCCTCACAGTCAACATCTGTTTCTTGCCGTGTTTGTTCAAGTAATATATATCATAAATATTTGTGCCTATTGTAGATACAGGACTGTACGTATTGTCTATGCCTTCCGCGTCTTGTAGTTTCTTTAATAGCGTCGTTTTACCTGATCCTTTGGGTCCCAGGCAAAGGACACTTATTTTCTTCTCTTGGTCATCCATGGCAGATGTATGAAACAATTTCTACGTAATTAGATTGGACGCAAATGTACACGAACCATTTATAATACCTTTTTAAAGTTACAAACAATTGTTTTATCAATATTACCGTGTAACTAAGATGTTATACATTTATAGTTATTAGTTCTTCTACTCAATAAGAGATGGCGCCACTACAATGTTAATTTACCTAATTCGTCGTGCAAGGTTAGTACCATAGTAATGAAATATGAATCCATGATTTAATGTTTCACAATGTATTTTTAAATACATTAGAAATGATTAATTTGTACAACGCCATTTTTAACAGCTACATAATAAATTGTGGCTGAATCAGATTTATGAATCATGGTTATGAATTGGCCGCCAAGCTGTAATAGCTTTATTGTATTTTCACACATAGTATAGTTATAAATATACAGTTTCATATGCGTGTGATACGTACTGCGATTCCCGCACTTCGGTCTTCCATAGATCTAGTCCCATATGGATAATCAACAACTTGGTGATGTAAGTGGATCCTAAGTTTCTTTAATGATAATGGATTTTTTTATTGTGAATGATAGTTAATGTGACCAGACGTCCCGTAATGAACGGGACAGTCCCTTTTTATAATTACGAGTCCCGGTGTCCCCGCAACGGACTCTGGGACGCAAAATTGTCCCGTTTTCGGTAACGGTGCGAAATTTTGGGTAGACGAGCCGGTTGTTAGTTGTTGGTAATTAAGGTGAGTATAAAAAAAATGTGCCAAGAGTGTCATTTTTACTTAAATACTTCTTAAAAAGTCAAATTTGTTCCTCCGATAACAAAACATTTTATTTTTATCGGATAAATATAAACTATCTATGAATAAATAAAATGTTTAATTATATTTATCGGATATATTTCTTAATTGATAACTTTTTTTGAATAGATAATTTTAAAAAAGAGTTTTTTTCATTGGCTGTCTGTTAATTGTGTCCCGTTTTGAGTCGAAGAATAAATGGTCACATTAATGATAGTGTAATGGTGCACCCACCTGCGCTAACGGTTTACGCTGGCGGGGCACCAATGGAGGATGATAAGATGAACATGAGGTCAGGTTAGTTAGCCCATCGTGGTAAATTCGCCATGAATTTATCACGGTGGTTTCCAGGGGGAACCGCGTGGAGGTCAACCTGATATAATGATAATGGATTGTTAGGACTGTTCTGGACTAGGGTGGCGGCAGACATGGAAAGAGCTGGAGGAGGCCTATGATGGGACCGTTCTGGAGTAGGTTTGCGGAAAACTGAGTTCAATGAGAAGATCAGAGAGCTGGAGGGTAAAGGGACACCGAGTTACAGGACATTTTATAAACCATTAAATCTACCCTAACTTTGGGTAAAAAACTTTATTATTAGTATTAATGGAATCATGCACCCGTTTGCGCTGTCGAGGCACCAGTAGAAGATGAATATGAAGTCAGGTTCGTTAGCCTATCGTGGCAAATTCACCAGGAATTTACAGAGTTTCCAGGGGAACAGCGTCTAGGTCAACCTACTATGGTACACAGCTAGCAATGGGGATATTACTTCACATTACTAACAATTCCTTTTCCCCCAAGTGGATGCTAAGTTGTAAACATACAAAAAATAATATCCAACATGGATTACATCGGTGCATCGGTTGGATTACGTAATTATGCGACACCAATAGTTTGTGACCACAATCGTTAAATAATTCATCTGTACCTAGTAATTTTACAGCCACCACCTTTCAATTGAGATATATATTAGAAATCAAGCTGTTTGGTGGCAGAAAGCTAAGAGGCAGAGCTATTGCAAACGAGTTTACCTCTGTAAGTCTACTCGATAAGTATATCTCGGTGGACATTGGCTCGATTCCACATCTGCTCCATTTGTTAGGCTCAATCTATAGAAAGAAACTGATTGGATTTGTCATCCATATAAAAACCGCCTGGGGGCTCCGCACCGGCATCCCCGATCGCCCCTACGATCGATCCCTCGTCCGATTTTGACGGGGATCGAAATTACGACGGTCTGAGCCGAAGTCCGAACTCCTAGCGGTGCCCTCAGACTAATGGCGTATCAGATGGGAGTTGGACTTCAGCCGCTCTAAAGTCCTTCCTTTGGTTTGGAGTGCCATCTCCACTCGCCCCCTATCGTCCGGTACAGCTGTAAAGGCCAGCTGCGGCCAACAGCATTAGAGTAGTCCGAAAAAAATAACCTATGCAAATCTCTACATACTACGTTATTTTCTGCGACTTCATCTGCTTCTGACTCCTGCGACTTCGTCTGATTCTCCCGGCCAGATGCTGTTCCTTTCAAAAAGTTGGCAACCCTGAGGGTCTGTCGTGTTACTCTATACAAATGCATGGTTACATGACAAGTAGGTGAAATTATGCATATGAATACAAACGCCTTTGGCGTGTGCCCACTGTAGCTGCGTGACGTGGGTGTCGGACTGTCGGTTACCTTACGTTGTAACATGTCCAGTTGAATCTAGGTGGCCTTAAACTTGGGTTACGTAAAGACGCTCATATATGGTCCACGCGGACCGTAGTGATGTGCTGTCACAACACACGAACGATTTCGAATACGTTCATTCATTCGTTATTTTCAATCAATAAATTTAAAAGTATTGATCATTAATTGTGTACAGTTTTACATTTCTTCCATTACATACATTTAGATTGGAACATGTCTAAGCAATATTTGTATTAATTACCTAACTATGACATGCCTTGGTTTCAATTATTGTGCAATTTTTGTAACGCACTTAATTTTTTTATAAAAATATAACCTATATTTTCGTTAACAGTAGTTAAAAGAATGTTTCAGTAATTTATCTTTTAAATAAGGTTATATTTAATATTATAAATAAAAAATTGAATCATTCATCTTTATTTATAGCTTGTCAAAAATTTTAGCCAATTAACGATTTCATACTATGTAAAATATTACACCATTTATTTAAAAAAAAAAACGTATATTCATACCTAGTTATAAATAGTAATCATTTTGAGTCAATAATAATATGTAAATCAGACAGCTTACAATAAATTATATATTTATTGTATTTCCATTTCTGTATTAGGTCACTGGATGCCTAGTAATTTCGCCCTACGAAATTAAGTAAAGGCTGACATTAATAAAAAATAATATATAGTAATATTTCTAAATGAATGAAACGTAGTACTCATAGTATTCAATCGCGTGAAGTGAGCTCTTCCCTATCGAGTGTGAGGTTAGCAACTGGTAATGTTAAACCCGCGAATTTCGGCGCGCGGGCTGCGTAACTAGGCCAGCGCACCCTTGACCCACTGACTCACTGCCAGCGAGCGCGCCCGCCATTGTTTTTCAACAATCAATAAATAATACACCGAGCAAAACTCTTTTACATTTGCGCAACTACTCATCGTGGTGCCATGTTATTTGAATTTGAAATTATTTTGACTTTATGGCGGCAAATTAAGGATTACATTTTAAAATTTTGTAGTATAAGGAACGGTTGCGCAACTACTTATCGTGGTGCAATGTTATTTGAATTTGGAATATTTGTTAGTTTATGGCGGCAAATTAAGGATTACATTTTTAAATTTTGTATCATAAGGAACGTTTGCGCAATTACTAATCGTGGTGATACGTTATTTAAATTTGGAATTATTTTGACTTTATGGCGGCAAATAACGGATTCTATTTTTAAATTATGCATTCTATTGTAAATGGATTCCATTCTAATTTCGAATGCTGTTTGACCATACTATTTTTACACGAAATAGATAAATAAAAGAATTTTCTCTACCTGTTTATTACATGCTCGATTTAGAGTTTGTAGTCAATGTTGTGTATATATTTTTTTAATTTTGTAGTATAAGGAATATTTGCGCAACACTCATTGTGGTGCCATGTTATTTGAATTTGGAATTACTTTGTCTTTACTGTGGCAAATTGAGGAATAATTTTTTTTATAAATTTTGTGGTATAAACACTTGCGCAACTACTCATCACGGTCCGACGTTATTTGAATTTGGAATTATTTTGACTTTATGGCGGCAAATCAAGGATTATATTTTTTAATTTTATAGTACATATTCATGAGTATGATTGTATCTGTCTGGGTGTTTTCTATGTATTTCATGCATGTATTTAAGAATACATGTCAGTTGTCCAGTACCCACAATACAGGCTTAGCTTGGGACTAGATGGCGCTGTCTGGATGATCATGGACAATTCACACAGCACCATCTAGTCCCTAGTCTAGTCCATCTACTATTATCATTATATGTATTAACAGGCGAAGAAAAACTGTATCCTTTTAGACGAGTGCAGCATTAATTTTTTTTTAATTATACATCAAAAATTCATACACACTACCATATATTTGACATACGCATATCTTTCATAATAGAACCTTAATAACGTTCAATAAGGTCGAATTTCGACCATTCGGCGACCGCTACCTTTATTATATGTATATGACCTTCTCACTACGTCATATCAGACTGCGGCGATGCCGGTCGGTCTGTCTGTCCGTTTGTATAGTGCACGTTGAAAACAATGGACCGATTCGTGACCTTCATATTCTGTAATTAGGTACTTATCTACACAATTATGTGTTGCCAGTACGCAAACAAGCATCATTTAAGTTAATTAGATGTAAATCAATATAAGGACTTAAACGATATGTGTTAATTAACACGATTAACGTAAGTTCTAATTTGTTGTCTGAACTGAATGGATTGGATGATAATTGTGAATGAGATCAAGCGATCGATCTATACAAATTGTATTGATTGATAATTGTGAATAAGTTTAATCGATCGATCTATACAAATTGAATTGATTGATAATTGTGAATAAGATCAATCGATCGATTCATATAAATAAATCGAATTTAAGTGTCTGTTTGTAATTTTAAACTACTACAGCATTTCTTTAAATGCATGTAGTATATGTATATGGCACTTAACATTTTAAATTTAAACTTAACAAGAATTAACTTAACTTAACTTAACTTAA